CAAAGAGTTTCAGGTGTTTATATGTATAGATATGTATAGATAGAAAGGAGGAAGTTGGTGCTAAATGAAAGATAAAAGGCAGGATGATGTGTGTGGGGATTGGGGGAAGACCAGTCTGAGAGAGGAAAGAACTGAGTTGAAGTACCAGTTTTGTCATTCTGTGACCTTATTAAAATCACCAAACATCTCTAGGACTCAGTTTACAAATTTGTGAAGTGAGAGGTTGAATGGAGGATGATTTCCAAAGGTCACTTGACACTTCAGAGTTTTGAAATTCTTAGCTAAAAGGTAGTAAGTTTCAGAATATGTAGACAAGAATGGGTGTACAATTTTGTAATTCATTCAACATGTTATGTCTATGTAATTTATTTGTCTGTGCAGTGGGAGTGTGGCAAGAACATGATGTCTGGTATAAAATTTAGAGAACTTAAGACATATTCACAGATAATTATTATACATAGTCCATATGTCACAAGAAAGAATTAAGAGAGAGGTTGTTTCCAATTTGGAGAAGGGAAAGGTACGGAGAGGATTATGGAGGGACCTATCTAAAAGTTTTCCACTGTAGGCCCCAGTACAAATTAAGCTGAGAAGCAATTCATCAGTTACTGAGAACAGTCATATCCTTCTGTTGGATGTCCTTGTCTCTTGTAGCCACTTTTGACTTAAAATCTCTTTTCTCTGATAATATCGGAGAAATAATCCCAATTTTCTTTTAGTTATTTACATGAATACCCTTTTCCATTATGTTCTTTTAACCTTTTATGTGTCTTTGTATCTAAAGTGAGTCTCTCATAGACATCATACAGATGTATCAGTTTTTAAATCCATTCTGCCACTCTCTGTCTTTTAAATGGAGTTTAATTAGTAAAGTAATTACAGATAAGGATAGAATTCTGTTATTTAGCTATTTGTTTTCTGTATGTCTTATACACTTTTTATTCCTCAATTCCTACATTACTGCCTTTTTCTTGTATTAAGTGATTTTTTTTCTAGTGACCACTTTGATTCCCTTCTTCCTTTTTCTATATATTTTTAAAGTTGTTTACTTTCTAGTGTTTACTTCAGGGGTTATAATTAAACATGTAACAACCAAATCTGAATAATATCAACTTAATTTCAATAATATACACTCTTCTATACATCTCCATCCCTCTCCCCTTATACTGTTCTTGTCACAGATTACATCTTTCTGAATTTGCTTTTTAAATTATATAGGAAAGAAAGAGGAGTTACAAACTTACATATACAATAATACTGACTTTTATACTTACCTATGTGGTTACATTTACCTGTGTTCTTTATTTCTTTATATGACTTCAAGTTACTGTCTATTGTCCTTTCTTTGCAGCTTGAAGCACTCTCTTTAACATTTCTTATAAGGAAGTTCTACTAATAACAAATTCCGTTAGCTTTGTTTATCTAGGAATGTCTTAATTTCTCCTTCATTCTTGAAGGATGTTTTGCTAGTTTTAGAATTCTTGTTTAATCTTTTATTGTTTTATTTTTATTTCATTTTATTTTTAACACATTAACTGTCATGTGAGTTGTATTTAACTTACGGCTAGTTTTGAGCCCGAGGCCTCATGAAGCATATATAACTCACACATCTCTTCACCTTGGGAGCCACAAGAACTATTTTTCAAGCTGCATATAGCTCATGCACAGAAAACAATAAAAAATAAATTTTTCATTAAATTAGGATCGTCGTGTTTTCGTATTTTCATAATAAAACACCCTGGCTCTAAGGAAAAAAAAAATTCTAGTGTGGCTGTCAATGTGTTAAAGATAAGGTCTTGCTGATGTTGTCAACTCCTGGGCTCAAGCAATTCTTCTGCCTCAGCCTCCTGGGTAGCTGGAATTACAGGCATGAGCCACCGTACCCGGCTTTGTTTAACTTTCTTTAAAATGTATTTATTTCCAGCACTATAAATACATCATTTTATTGCCTTTTGGCGAGTAATGTCTGCTCTGTTTCTTCTGGAACTGAGGACCAGGTCCACACTGCACACATGGGCTGCTGTTTTTAAGATGGTCACACCGCTGGTCCTGGGAGGAGATGGAAATCAAGGTGAGTCAAAGCCAGAAATAAATGGCTTTCCTACCAATAAATGGCCTTTTTCTTGATTCAGCATTTACTTGGTTGCTGCAAACCTTTGACTGTTTTCCAGAGTTCTGACAAAGTTGGTTCTGATAGTTTCCGGTTGTTTTTTTTGTTTCTATGGAGGGATGGGAGTGTGAAGCTTCCTACTTGCCATTCTGCTGTTGCCATTCCCCCAGCTGAACAAGTCACAACCTCTCCATCTATTTCCTTCTTAGTCAAACAGCACAACTCCAAAAATGTCACACAGCTGCTGTGAGGATCAAATATAGGAAAGTGTAAGACTTTTATAAAATAAAATGCACACAAAACCTTACTTTAAGAAATATGTTGTTTTCTGCACATCAGTTACATCACTTTTATGATGCTAGAGAAGAAATTAAATGGTGAGCAAAAAAGTTTAATTTTACATGCCTATTTTTCTTCATCTCCATTTCTACCTAAAAATACACTTTATCTTTTACCACCAGCCTCAGTAGTCCTCTAACATCAATAAGGGGAAAATACTGGTTTTACTTCAACATTTTATTGAACTTCTCATATTACACAATTTACTCAAAACATTTAAAGTACCAGTAAGACAAAAACAACTTTGAAAAAAAAAAGGCATACAGACAAAATACCTCTAGGTGAGGTAATACTGTAATAAGATTCATTGTCAAATCACAAGTTTTGTTACTCTGCTATACAACTTGGTACCATATCAATGATATTAAATGATTCAAAAGTTAAGACATTACACATTCAGTTTGCGTGTGTGTGTGAGAGAGATCTCTTATGTACAGCAAGTTGAAAAACAGAAATGCCGACATTAAGTATCATTCAAACTCTAGTGCAGTGTGAATTGTTACCAAGAGATTTTATCTGCTTATGTAAGTTTTGAAAATAATTCAAACCTGGCTATCTTTTTAAGATCTGGCACAGT